TACACAGGATGGATTCCCTATTGAAATAGTTGCCTATTCATATGGATGCTCCTGATGTCTGCCCCCCTTGGATCTTCAGAAATGACTGACCCACCTTTAATTTTTCAGATTATTTCTTAAACTTCTCACATGAGGGAATGACTTTATGTATGTTGTTTTGATTGTTTCTGAACACGACCCTTCAAAATCTCTGTCTCAAAGAAGCCATATGACTTACTCAAGGGCACAAAGAATTTGGGTTACAACTCAGCTTTCTCTGATCCTAAAGCTCAAATTCTCACAGGATCCCTACTGGAAAAAATGATACTCTTTTATCTTCATGTCTTATGTTCTGACCATTGCATCCATCACACATACATTAGCTATATAGAGGAATATAGGGTCTCAGAAAATAATGTAATGGATCGAAAAAGAGAGCTTGGTTGTAAACAAAAATGGGGCAACACTAAAGGGGGAGATATGATGTAGAATAAAAAAAATATTTTACCTACATAGGCTATTCATTATCATAAAAATCCCGTGTGAGTATATGTAGAGCTAATTAATATTCTCTGAGGTACTTCTGAAGAAAATAAAAAAAAAAAAACCTAACAGGAAGTCCTGTGATTACAGAGAGTGTGGCCCTCAAACCAGAGCAAATCCTTAGGTATCACTGAAGCAATGAGTGAAAGGCATATCCTTAGTTGTTAGGAACTCCTTTATTCAATAAAACACTCTCCAGATTTAGGGATTGTTGCTCAAGTTTGGTCACTCCTCTGTATCCATCTTCTGTGATTTTGCTATCTTAGAAAATGCTATGGTTTTGGTGATGCATAATTATATTTTTAAATTAATATTACAAAGTTAGAGTGCATAGAAATAACTGTTTTATCAGGCTGGGAGCTCCTTAAAAATGGGGAGTGATAAATGTAATCTTTAATCCTTAGGCCTAGCTCAGTGCCTGACTTAATATATTTGTTCAAAAATTCTTATTGCATGAATAAGAAAATTTATGAAAAATGTGGTGAATCTTCCCTCAGTGACACTTTGTATAAAATGCCTATCTTCCTCTTTTTTAAAATAATAAAATCTCTAGATAACTCAAGGTTAATTAATAAGCCTTTCTGGATTCCCCTCTCTCACCCATCTCTCCCCATTTTCACAATTTAACATATGCATATGGACTTGAGAATTAGCATGCAATTGTTTAATGAAGGTTTACAAAATTTTAATCATTAACATAAGGACATTGGTGTAGGATTAAAGAGGGATGTAATCCAAGCTCTACAGTTATGCAAACATGTGACTTTGAAAAACTGACTAGGCAACACTGATCATCAGTTTCTTAATCTGTAAAATGGGGTTATATATAATTTGTACCATGCCCGTGTAATGCAAACTAAATCTACATTTAAATGTCTAGTACAGTGCTTAAGTGTGGGTTCTCAAAAGCAGCAACCTTTGAAAATTCTTCCCTAGTACTTCATACAAGCTCAGAAATATCACCAAACCTCTATAAGTACATGTGGTTAGCTTAAAATGCCCGAATTTTGAAAGCGCTGAAGTTAATGTCCATCTGACTCTGGAGAATGATTTCTTAAGATATCTTAATGGGGTCATACAACCCAGTGCTCTTGCCTGTAAACCCCATGCTTGGCCCTGGGACACCTGCTCTGCATGTGTTTGTCTCTTCGGTTCCAGGACTCCCACTCCACTACCGCTGCACCTGCAGGGAGCACAGAACCCGGCCTCAGCTCCAAGGCACTGGTCTGTGGGGAGGATGAGTGACCGACATTTACTGTTGTTGTCTTGCTTAGTTCCTATGGCAGTTCCCAGTGGCATAATACTTCTGCTCTTTGATTTCCCCTCCTGTGTGTCTGCATTTGTGCTACTATAAAAGCACAGAGGGCACGCTGCCACCAGTGGCCTGAGTGATGTGTAAAAACCAAGAAGCAGAATCTCTATAACCTTCTTATGAACTGAGAGAAGAAGTATCTTTTTTTTTATTTATATATATTTTATTGATTTTTTACAGAGCGGAAGGGAGAGAGATAGAGAGTTAGAAACATCGATGAGAGAGAAACATTGATCAGCTGCCTCCTGCACATCTCCTACTGGGGATGTGCCCGCAACCCAGGTACATGCCCTTGACCGGAATCGAACCCGGGACCCTTCAGTCCGCAGGCCGACGCTCTATCCACTGAGCCAAACCGGTTTCGGCGAGAAGAAGTATCTTATTCATAGTTATAGAAAAATCATTTTTCTATTCTAAGAAAATAATCAAAGGAGGTCCACCTAATTCAAGTTTAAACAGAACTACCGTATTTTTCTGTGTATAAGCTGCTATTTTTTTTCTAAAATCATTAGACTGAAAATTGAGGGGCATCTTATACATGAAAGTCATCCAAGGAGGGAGACGTGCCTGTGGGCAGCTGCCCATACTTTGTCAAACAGGCTTTCTCCAAGCACGAGCCTTATTGTTACTAATGTCAGCTGATGCAATAATTGGAAGTGGAGGTGGAGAGTGTGCAGATACAACAGGGACTGGAGTGTTCTGAGCCCATAAAAATGTCAAAAAATAAAAAGATAAATACTGGTAAGTGATTGTCTTATTCTGCAAATTTCAAACTGAATGTAATCAGCTATTGCAAAAGAGCATGGAAATAGAGCTATAGAGAGTCAATTTGGGCCTCCTCCCACAGAATATATGATTAGACAGTGGAGAAAACAAAAAATAAAAATATAAATACTGGTATGTGTTTGTCTTATTCTGCAAATTTCAAACTGAATGTAATCAGCTATTGCAAAAGAGCATGGAAATAGAGCTATAGAGAGTCAATTTGGGCCTCCTCCCACAGAATATATGATAAGACAGTGGAGAAAACAGGAAGAACAACTCCTTAAGATGCCAAAAAAGAAGGCCTTAAGAGGAAAAACAGTAAAATGTTTAAAATATTGATTTCTTAATTTTAGGTTGGAAAAGTGGGGACAGTCTTATACATGGGGGCATCTTATACATGGAACAATATGGTAATCTGTTAAAATCAGCCACAGCAGGGATAAGTAGGTAATGAGTCAGGTGGTCTGCAAAGAGAGTTGCATGGAAAGAACCACAGTCTATCTGCCCTCAAAGACCATCTGCAGCCTGTAATGGCACTGAACCCCCACCTCATCCAGTATCTAAAAGGTAAAGTCAGAGGTTAGATAAGAAACACATGCTGGAGACCTGCCACTAAAAGAAACTGCTGGAGTGTCCACAGAAGCCAGAGGGAACTCCCTTTTCCATTGGCCCAGCACCATTCTGGA